GTATGGCCCTTATTGGTTTACCGCTTCCTTATAAAGAAAATATTATTGTACTGAGCTGGATTAATGATACATATTTGTTATAAACATTAATAACGTAATGATTTTGTAAGTATTCCCGAAGGAGGGTCCCTCAAGGGCGGTTCCTTGACGTTAGTGAGGGCTCTTGATCCAGGGAATTGAATCTGTGCTCAAGTTCACTGAGCTGAACCTGAATACCTTCCATAACACCCCCCACAGGTGTTGTATAATCCTCTGGATATATATATATATATATATATATATATATATATATATATATATATATATATATATATATATATATATATATTATATTTATTTATTATCACACTGGCCGATTCCCACCAAGGCAGGGTGGCCCGAAAAAGAAAAACTTTCACATCATTCACTCCATCACTGTCTTGCCAGAAGGGTGCTTTACACTACAGTTTTTAAACTGCAACATTAACACCCTCCTTCAGAGTGCAGGCACTGTACTTCCCATCTCCAGGACTCAAGTCCGGCCTGCCGGTTTCCTGAACCCCTTCATAAATGTTACTTTGCTCACACTCCAACAGCACGTCAAATATTACAAAACCATTTGTCTCCATTCACGCCTATCAAACACGCTCACGCATGCCTGCTGGAAGTCCAAGCCCCTCGCACACAAAACCTCCTTTACCCCCTCCCTCCACCTTTCCTAGACCGACCCCTATCCCGCCTTCCTTCCACTACAGAACTGATACACTCTTGAAGTCATTCTGTTTCGCTCCATTCTCTCTACATGTCCGAACCACCTCAACAACCCTTCCTCAGCCCTCTGGACAACAGTTTTGGTAATCCCGCACCTCCTCCTAACTTCCAAACTACGAATTCTCTGCATTATATTCACACCACACATTGCCCTCAGACATGACATCTCCACTGCCTCCAACCTTCTCCTTGCTGCAACATTCATCACCCATGCTTCACACCCATATAATAGCGTTGGTAAAACTATACTCTCATACATTCCCCTCTTTGCCTCCAAGGACAAAGTTCTTTGTCTCCACAGACTCCTAAGTGCACCACTCACCCTTTTCCGCTCATCAGTTCTATGATTAACCTCATCTTTCATAGACCCATCCGCTGACACGTCCACTCCCAAATATCTGAATACATTCACCTCCTTCATACTCTCTCCTTCCAATCTGATATCCAGTCTTTCATCACCTAATCTTTTTGTTATCCTCATAACCTTACTCTTTCCTGTATTCACTTTTAATTTTCTTCTTTTGCACACCCTACCAAATTCATCCACCAATCTCTGCAACTTCTCTTCAGAATCTCCCAAGAGCACAGTGTCATCAGCAAAGAGCAACTGTGACAACTCCCACTTTATGTGTGATTCTTTATCTTTTAACTCCACGCCTCTTGCCAAGACCCTCGCATTTACTTCTCTTACAACCCCATCTATAAATATATTAAACAACCACGGTGACATCACACATCCTTGTCTAAGGCCTACTTTTACTGGGAAATAATTTCCCTCTTTCCTACATACTCTAACTTGAGCCTCACTATCCTCGTAAAAACTCTTCACTGCTTTCAGTAACCTACCTCCTACACCATACACTTGCAACATCTGCCACATTGCCCCCCTATCCACCCTGTCATATGCCTTTTCCAAATCCATAAATGCCACAAAGACCTCTTTAGCCTTATCTAATTACAGTTCACTTATATGTTTCACTGTAAACACCTGGTCCACACACCCCCTACCTTTCCTAAAAGCCTCCTTGTTCATCTGCTATCCTATTCTCCGTCTTACTCTTAATTCTTTCAATAATAACTCTACCATACACTTTACCAGGAATGCTCAACAGACTTATCCCCCTATAATTTTTGCACTCTCTTTTGTCCCCTTTGCCTTTATACAAAGGAACTATGCATGCTCTCTGCCAATCCCTAGGTATCTTACCCTCTTCCATACATTTATTAAATAATTGCACCAACCACTCCAAAACTATATCCCCACCTGCTTTTAACATTTCTATCTTTATCCCATCAATCCCTGCTGCCTTACCCCCTTTCATTTTACTTACTGCCTCACGAACTTCCCCACACTCACAACTGGCTCTTCCTCACTCCTACAAGATGTTATTCCTCCTTGCCCTATACACGAAATCACAGCTTCCCTATCTTCATCACATTTAACAATTCCTCAAAATATTCCCTCCATCTTCCCAATACCTCTAACTCTCCATTTAATAACTCTCTTCTCCTATTTTTAAACTGACAAATCCATTTGTTCTCTAGGCTTCCTTAACTTGTTAATCTCACTCCAAAACTTTTTCTTATTTTCAACAAAATTTGTTGATAACATCTCACCCACTCTCTCATTTGCTCTCTTTTTACATTGCTTCACCACCCTCTTAACCTCTCTCTTTTTCTCTATATACTCTTCCCTCCTTGCATCACTTCTACTTTGTAAAAACTTCTCATATGCTAACTTTTTCTCCCTTACTACTCTCTTTACATCATCATTCCGCCAATTGCTCCTCTTCCCTCCCGCACCCACTTTCCTGTAACCACAAACCACTGCTGAACACTCTAACACTACATTTTTAAACCTACCCCATACCTCTTCGACCCCATTTCCTATGCTCTCATTACCCCATCTATCCTCCAATAGCTGTTTATATCTTACCCTAACTGCCTCCTCTTTTAGTTTATAAACCTTCACCTCTCTCTTCCCTGATGCTTCTATTCTCCTTGTATCCCATCTACCTTTTACTCTCAGTATAGCTACAACTAGAAAGTGATCTGATATGTCTGTGGCCCCTCTATAAACATGTACATCCTGAAGTCTACTCAACAGTCTTTTATCTACCAATACATAATCCAACAAACTACTGCCATTTCGCCCTACATCATATCTTGTATACTTATTTATCCTCTTTTTCTTAAAATATGTATTACCTATAACTAAACCCCTTTCTATACAAAGTTCAATCAAAGGGCTCCCATTATCATTTACACCTGGCACCCCAAACTTACCTACCACACCCTCTCTAAAAGTTTCTCCTACTTTAGCATTCAGGTCCCCTACCACAATTACTCTCTCACTTGGTTCAAAGGTTCCTATACATTCACTTAACATCTCCCAAAATCTCTCTCTCTCTTCTACATTCCTCTCTTCTCCAGGTGCATACACGCTTATTATAACCCACTTTTCACATCCAACCTTTACTTTAATTCACATAATTCTTGAATTTACACATTCATATTCTCTTTTCTCCTTCCATAACTGATCCTTCAACATTACTGCTACCCCTTCCTTTGCTCTAACTCTCTCAGATACTCCAGATTTAATCCCATTTATTTCCCCCCACCGAAACTCCCCTACCCCCTTCAGCTTTGTTTCGCTTAGGGCCAGACATCCAACTTCTTTTCATTCATAACATCAGCAATCATCTGTTTCTTGTCATCCGCACTACATCCACGCACATTTAAGCATCCCAGTTTTATAAAGTTTTTCTTCTACTCTTTTGTAGTAAATGTCTACAGGAGAAGGGGTTACTAGCCCATTGCTCCCGGCATTTTAGTCGCCTCATACGACACGCATGGCTTACGGAGGAAAGATTCTTTTCCACTTCCCCATGGACAATAGAAGAAATAAAGAAGAACAAGAGCTATGTAGAAAAAGGAGAAAAATCTAGTTGTATGTATTATATATATATATTATATATATATATATTATATATATATATATATTAATATATATGTATGTGCGTGTCTGTGAAGTGTGACCAAAGTGTAAGTAGGAGTAGCAAGATATCCCTGTTATCTAGTGTGTTTATGAGACAGAAAAAGAAACCAGCAATCCTACCATATATATATATATTATATTATATATATATAGATATTTATATATATTTATATATATATATTTATATATATATATATTTATAATACATAAACTGTTGAATGTGTTTTGAGTCACTTTGTATATATTCTACTGAGAATATATCTCTTGGTATATGTGCAGTGAGAGCTATAGTTTATGCACACGAGGATGTATATGTGTTTGTATAAAGACGCCTGAAGTTTACTATTACCCTAATGAGTCTACATTTGGGATTAAAGTATTCTTGACTGGTGGTGAACAGGTGAAATGCAGTGTTAATGACCCTCGTAGGTAAGTACTGGCTTTCAGAGTTGTGGATACGTGGAACAATCTTCCGAGTAGTGTGATCGAGGCTAGGATCCTGGGTGGCTTTAAGAGACTGGACAGCAACGGGTGCGAGGGCGTGGGTTTGATTGGTGTCGTTGGTACGGGAGTAAATTCGTTGTGGTAGTTTTGATAAGGACTTGCCTTGTATGGGCCAGTAGGCCTTCTGCAGTGTTCCTCCATTCTTATGTTCTTATGTGTCGAAAAATATTAATAAGCCCAATTATTTTTTAAGTATATTATAATCTGTATCAGAGAAGCAACACTTGTAGTGTATGCTAGGACACAACATCTAGAACACTTGTATTTATAAATAAAGTTATTTGCAAGAGTAGGGTCACAGCTCCTGGCCCCACTACTTGACATATATCGACCGACTTTACTGACCTATGTCCTCCAGTTCCGGATCATACCTACCATTGAAGCTGTGTATAATTTGCCTGTACCACCTCTTCCTAACGTTCTTACGGCCATCAGTGCCACCTGGCTCAAACTCCTCACATCTCAAATATCCTGTTCCTATCCGCACTGTCTAATCTTCTTAGGATTTTGAATGGCAGGACAATGTTTTTCCTTGGTTCTCCACTCTCCTAGTGATCTTAATGTAAGTGCATTAATTAGATCTCTGTTTAGTCTGTGTTCGTGTTTGTCTCTCCTTGTTGTTGTTCACAGTGCTGTGTGTGTGTGTGTGTGTGTGTGTGTGTGTGTGTGTGTGTGTGTGTGTGTGTGCCGGGATGCGGTTGAGGTCCCAGGTATAAATACTGGTACGCAGGAACCTCTTTTCACTTGCAAGTTGCCCACTGTCCTAGCTCCTGCTGATCCTGCTGTTGCTGCTGTTACTGTTGCTGTTGCTACTGTTGCTGTTGCTACTGTTGCTGCTGCTGCTACTCGCACCAACATTATATATTTACTTTATAACAGCAGGTAAACAAATCTATCGTAAGTTCACCTTCAAGAAATTCCAAGAGACTTTTTCTATGTAATTGTCTTTGCCTTCCATCTATGCCTCCTCGTCCTATAGACTCCTCCAAGTATTTTGCACGTCTTGGTCATGTCTCCTCATATTCTCGTGTCCAATGTTGCAAGGTTTGCTTCCTGTTATTATTAAGTACATCTGAGCAACCTTAACCAGTTTCCGGGTTATAGCTCGATATTTATGGGAAACGCTAAACTCATAGGGGTTATACAGCGCCTGGGGGAATGGAAAGTAGCTTTGATGCAAGGAAGGGAAGGATAGCTTCCATTCCTTAGGTCAAGAGGTCTTCGCCAGCATCAAAGAAACCCTTTGCAAATTACTGACATTTACTAGAGGAAAGGATAAACGACTTTTGAATCGGTACTCTGTCACTGTCAAGACATCTGTGCCACTGTCAAGACACCTGTGCCACTGTCAAGGCACCTGTGCCACTGTCAAGACACCTGTGCCACTGTAGGATCTGTCATGGATCAATAACAGTCACTCCCTTCCTTGTAGTGTCCGTCATGAACCAATATCAGTCACTCTCTTCCCTTGTTGGGTCAGCGACTTATTGTTACCTCTCTTTTCTTTCGCTGATGTTGTGGAGGCAGGTTCAGGATGTATGGGTGGGCGTGTGTGACTCTGATGGTGGTAGCGTCTTGGCAAGCATCCTGCCAGGAAGTAACAGAACCTTGGCAAGCACCTACCCAGGGTGTGGCAGAGCCCCAGCAAGTACCTACCCAGGGTGTGGTAGAGCCCCAACAAGCATCTACCCAGGGTGTGGATCATCTTGACTGCTCTGCTGAAGAGGAGAACGCCGCCAAGCAGAGCGTGGTTTCTTCGCTTCGAGAGCTGTACTTTCCGCTGCTGGACGAGACTTCAGGAAGCATCCGTGAGCTGGTGAACAACAGGAACAACGTGAAGATGTACATCGACTGCATCATTGAGAACAAGACGTGCACTAGGCTGGGCAAGTCTTTGCAACGTGAGTATTAATGACGGTTATTAACATCCAGTTTCATGAAAACGTATTTCGATGTAGACCTCTGAATTATACGCTTATTCTGTTCTCACCACTGCCGTATACATTCATTATAATGCCTTATACAGTCACTCCTCTGTTTTATATACTCATTCCACTGGTTCATGCACTCGCTGTATATCTTCTACTATCCAGTAGTGAAATATAGACTTATTCACGGACTCCATAACGCACGTCACATTTAGTAAAAATCTATTTTTTCTCTCTTCCCTTCCCATATATTCCAGTGTTCTGTACCGCAAATATTCCAACCTTGTACTTTCTTGTATATGTGATGGCCACTAACGCCAGATTGTGCGACTCTCTTATCTCTTTCTCTTTACTCTTCATTGTTCACTTTAGGTTAGGTAAGATTTGTCAGGAAACAGGACAAGTGTTTCCTGACGCGGGTCTTAGTCATATGATGACCCACAGCTGGAGCTTTTGGTCTTCTGACCGAGGACCTTCCACTGGATTACCCCTCCGCCCTTTAAAAATTATAGTTTTAATTATTAGGAATTCTTTTGTTCACCTTCATAACAAATTCTGTTATTTACCCTCACACTGCAGACTTCGTGACAGACGAGGCTGGAAACAACCTCTGCTTCGGGTGTCAGCCTTGCCAGAAGCAACGTATCAAGTACATCCTGAGGCAGCTAAAATGCAATTATAATGATCAGGCCAAGAGAATCGAGGAGTATATCTTGAAGGTTAAGAATATCAACATTTATACCTTCTTCAACCTGCAGAACATTGTATGTGAACTGGAGGAGTGATCCGTAAGTGAACCTGTTGTTGTTCTACTGGTCAGGAAACAAATGAGTGTTTCCTGACACAGGTCGTAATCATAAGATGACTTCACGGTGAAAACTGGCTCTACCTGCTAGTTATATAACTAGACCTAACTGCTAACTATATAGTAACTGATTTTGATAACCTATAGACGCTGAAACCTTATAGTTTTCTGGAAATTAGACCTAATAATCATCTAGCAACGGAGACTTATAACCATCTATTTCCCTAGAAATGACAAGAATTGAATCAGTATCTTTCCTAGCTGCGCTTGACCTGTTGTCATATCCTCACTGCACCTACAGCAATGACCATCTGATATCCTAGAAATTACCAGAATCTAGCCAACACCTACCATCACTTAGCAGGATCTCATCTCTGCAAAGTTACAGCAGAATAAACGTCGTAAAGAAATGATTCCGGGTGTCGAATAACCAGACATTAAGTTTGGTTCTGTGTAGGTCTTCATGGTTGCCTCCGTGGTTTTAGAGCTTCGTCGAGTCATTTTTGGTTGTTTAGAGCTTTATCAAGTCAAAGTGGCTCTGTATAGGGCTTTATCAATCAAGGTGGCTCTGTGTAGAGCTTTATAAAGTCAAGGTGGCTCTGTGTAGAGCTTTATCAAGTCAAATTGTCTCTGTGAAGACATTTATCAGGTCATGGATTAATAACCTTCACGAAGCTAAAGTTGAACCAATAAAAAGCTTGTTCTCCAACGTGTCTTTTCTCTACATTACTCCACCTGGATCCAACTCATCCGTCACCAGACGCTGTCTCGTCCACCTTCTGCCAGACCAAACTACCTTATGGTACGAGCTGAGTTAAACTTGAGCTCACCGGGGACACAGTGAGCCTGACTTAGGCCTGGTTAACATAATTATATTTCTTCTTAGTTCTTAAGACCCTGGTCAGGAAATACTGTACTTGTCCTATTTCCTGACGAACATAATATTCGTCAGTATACTTTTACGACTCTGTCCTGGCCAGTATTATTATTAGTGCTGTTTTATGATTTAAGATTCTTGTCTCAGGATACATTCCGAAAATATTTTAAATCCCCGAGGTGGTCTACAACCCCATACGGGTTTAGCCCTTCTCTGTGAATATGGGGTGGAGGGTAAAATCGTTAATCTTCTCTGGTTGTTGTTGGTTTAAGTGTCAGGATACATGGCACGGGTTTTATTAATTTCGAAGACCCGTTACCTATAATGTCTGGTCACCCATAATGTTATATATACACCGACGTCACTGAGGATGATGCTAAACTTTTGGTATATATATAAACCAAGTTGTTTTATTCGTCAGGAGACAGGATAAGTGTCTCCTGACAAGGGTCTCTTAAATATATATAGATGAACCGTTTAAGATTACCTTTGTATATAAAAAAAAAAAAAAAAAAAAAAAAAAAAAAAAAAAAAAAAAAAAAAAAAAAAAAAAAAAAAAAAAGACAATGGTTATAAGTGACCATAATTTTTAAAGGGGTGGACCGGTCAGATGACCAAAAGCTCCAAAGGCGGGTCATCATCTGACTAAGACCCGCGTCAGGAAACATTTGTCCTGTTTCCTGACGAACCTTACCTAACCTAACCTTTGTATAAACTAAGATTTGTTAGGAAACAGGACAAGTGTTTCCTGACGCTGGTCTTATGATGACCCACTCTTGGTCATCTGACCAAGGCCTTCAGCTGGCTTACCGGTCCATCCCTATGAGATGGTGATGATGCCTGCTGACAACTACTAGACACTTCAGCCGACATCATAGGCCGCGTTCTCAGCCTCCTAGCTTGTCTTTTTTCATTATTTCACGAGGTGGCCCTATGTACTGTTCTTCTGAACACAGGTGTTGTTCTGGTCAACATGGCTACATGTGTGTTAATATCTTCTTAGTTCTAGGGATCTTGCTGTTTCGCCCACATGTGTCTCATCACTCCTCTGTTGCTGTAGTTATGTTGTCACTCTTGACTCCCTGTCAAAAGTCTTTATCAAGAGTTCGTTGTTATTTTAAACTTAATACCTGTCATCACAGACACGTTCTTCTCTGACATGTACAACAGATCAGGTGTTTCCTCTTCTGTGTCGCTGTTGTTCCTGTTGAGGACACGTGCTGCCACCTGTCTCTGTTGTGTCGTTGTTGCTTTTTTCTGGAGAGTTTTCCGGGGGTCAAAGCCCCCGCGGCCCCGCCCATTACCGAGGATTAAAATTATACTGTCAGCGTATATACTTTGAGAGAAATATACTCATCGGAATATATCCTGAGAAAAGAAATAGGACAATTAATTCCCGACAACACTAATATTACTGAATCATACAACAGTAATAATACTGGCCAGGACAGAGTCGGAAATTAAATATTGCTTAAAATGTCACCAAAATATAAACGAGTAAACCGTACAGTAGATGTATTGGTAGGTATTAAGTTTGTCAAGAAAACAGAGGTGGTTCCTAACGCAGGTCTATGTGATGGGTCTTATGATAACCCACAGTTGGAGGTTTTGGTCATCTTACCGTAGCCTTCCACTGGTTAACCAGTCTACCCCTTTGAAAATCATGGTTATGAATATAACCATGTAAGTTCTTGTAACGAAAGAACAGGACTCACAGGTACGAACCCACTAGGGGAGAACCACCTTGACTTGATGAAGCTCTATACAGAGCCACATTGACTTGCTAAAGCTCTACACAGCCAAACATGACTTGATAAATTTCTTGAGGACACGTCTTGCCAGCTTCATAAAAATTTCAACATTCAGCTTATCGCGTCAAGGAACACAGTATAAATACTAAGAATCTAGCAAGCTTTACCATCACTGTCTTGTTCACCGAGGTGTCAGGTGAGGTCAGAAAGTGGGCCTGACTAGGCTGTCACCTTTTCCACCTGGCTGGACGGCCCATAAAAGCAGCGACTGATTCCGGATTTTCATCCAGTAGTCGGCTCACTGTCTCTTATAATTCTCTTTACCGCTGGTGCCTTCAAAAGCAGTGATATACATGTCTTTTGTGCTCTGGGGAACGAAAACTGGTAATGTCTGGCCTCTCAAAATTTTGAATTTACTCCTGGTCAAAACTGTGTGTATCCTCTGCATGATGCTACAATTATCCCCTGACTGTATTACACACTTGCCTGAACAAGACTAACAATCACACACAATATACAATAATTTCTCCAGCAATATTGTTATAGTAATATCTGCAAATCAATGATCTTATTGACGCAAATGGCGACAATGCTGACAGACTGTGTAATAGCGTCTGGGTAAGCATTATTTTTAATTCTTGTTAGGCACTTTTAATGTATTTTCTTCCCAGTGCATAAATTCTCCAAGCTGTCGTTAAATGCTTGTCCATGGTCAGTTATTTTAAAGCCAGTTTTTCATAGTGTGATAGCAGGGGAGTAGATGTTTTTGTATATAAGGCTGCTGAGGCAGTGTTTTTCTCATGTTTTTCTCTGTGTAGAGCTGTGTTAAGCCTTGACTTGGTGACCCTTGTGGGTTTAGCGATTGGGCACAGCATCAATACAGCATAAGACTGAGGTACAGCAGCAATTCAGTGTTAGCGAGGTACAGCATCATTACAATGTTAGTGAGGTACAGCAACAATGTAACGTAAGAGAGCGAGGTACAGACCATGAATGAAAACCTAAATTCGACCTCAGAAATGGTAGCCTGGGTCTACCGGGTGAGCGAGTGTAAGAAGGTCGACTGAACGAGTGTATGTTAGTGAGAAAGTCATAGCATGTGCGTCAGCTGCTCCCTGACAGTCTTAGTACGCACTTGTGCTGGCTGATAGCCTTAGCATGACGGTGTGGTGCCCGCTGACAGTCTTAGCATGACGGTGTGTTGCTCTCTCACAATGTTTACCTAAGTTACAAGGGAACATTGAACATTGAACTAAGTTACAAGGGAACATTGAACATTGAACTAAGTTACAAGGGAACATTGAACATTGAACTAAGTTACAAGGGAACATTGAACAATGAACTAAGTTACAACAAGGGAATATTGAACATTGAACTAAGTTACAACAAGGGAACATTGAACATTGAACCTCACTTCATGGACAAAAATTGAATGGTACGCTAACGTCTTTATTCCTTTATAAAACTTTAAAACAAATCGTCAGGGTCCGGTGATTTGTTTGGTTTCAGTTTTCTATTTGTCTAAGATCTATGTCAATTCTGACTGATCTGGCATTATCTCTTTTTTTTGATAACACGAAGGTTGTTTCCCACCGTGGTAGGGTCGTGGTAGGGTGACCCCCCCCCCACCCCCCACCCGAAAAAAATACCATCATTCAGTCAATAGCTGTCTTGGCAGAAGTGTGCAGACATCAAAATTTAAATGACTCTCTGGACTGAGCATCTCCACCTCTCCCTCAGAGTGCTGGCACTGTACCTTCCACCACCAGGACTCAAGTCCGGCTAATCAGTTTCCCTGAATCCCTTCATACATGGCATCTTACACTCCAACAGCACGTCAAGCCATAAAGACCACTTCCACTCTCATCTAACACACTCGCATGAATCTGGTGGATGTTCAAGCCCACAGCACATAAAACCTTTACCCTTCCTCCCTCCAACTCTTCCTGAGACGACCCCTGCTCTTCCTTCCTTTCATCTCAGATTTGTAGACTAGCAGTATCCTTCCTCTTTTAAGTGTTCAGAATACTTCAACAACCCTGTCTTTGTCATCATGAATTACATCTGCATAATATTCACACCACACATTGCCCTCAAACACGACGTCTCCACTTCCTTCACCCTCATCTTCACTGCAACGTTTAAAACCCATGCTCACACCTATATAACAGTGTTTGTGTCACTATTATCTGGTATATTCCCCTATTTACCTATATGAATATTCTAAATAAAGACCTACTGAAATATTCATAGACCTGCTGAACCACTGGTAGACCTGCTGAACCACTGGTAGACCTACTGAACCACTGGTAGACCTGCTGAACCACTGGTAGACCTGCTGAACCACTGGTAGACCTGCTGAACCACTGGTAGACCCGCTGAACACTGGTAGACCTACTGAACCACTGGTAGACTACTGAACCATGGTTTGACCTGCTGAACCACTGGTAGACCTGCTGAACCACTGGTAGACCTGCTGAACCACTGGTAGACCTACTAAACCACTGGTAGACCTGCTGAACCACTGGTAGACCTACTGAACCACTGGTAGACCTGCTGAACCACTGGTAGACCTACTGAACCACTGGTAGGGCCTACTGAACCAACTGGTAGACCTGCTGAACCACTGGTTAGACCTACTGAACCACTGGTAGACCTACTGAACCACTGGTAGACCTGCTTAACCACTGGTAGACCTACTGAACCACTGGTAGACCTACTGAACCACTGGTAGACCTACTGAACCACTGGTAGACCTACTGAACCACTGGTAGACCTATTGAACCACTGGTAGACCTATTGAACCACTGGTAGACCTGCTGAACCACTGGTAGACCTACTGAACCACTGGTAGACCTGCTGAACCATGGTAGACCTGCTGAACACTGGTAGACCTACTGAACCACTGGTAGACCTACTGAACCACTGGGTAGACCTATGAACCACTGGTAGACCTCTGAACCACTGGTAGACCTACTGAAAACCCCTGGTAGACCTGCTGAACCACTGGTAGACCTACTGAACCACGGTAGACCTGCTGAACACTGGTAGAACCTGCTGAACCACTGGTAGACCTACTGAACCATGGTAGA